CCACAGGTCGAGCGCCGGACAGAACTCAATCAGATCCTTGTCGTCGCAGATGTGAGGGCCGGACATAATGTGATGACAAACACAACAATCATATGATTTCACGCATTAATTGTCGCCATAAATAGTGACTAAATTTTATTCACAAAAATTCATTCATACTTTCCATGCATTCAATACAATAACACCGAAAAAGTGTTGTTTATTTTTTTTGCAATCAATTATGTCTTGTGTTTACAAATAGTGTTTCAAAACTTTGCTTTCAATTAAATTAACCATATTTTTAACACATTTGCATTGAATGTATGAATGCATTGAATTATTTCGTGTCCACAAACATGTGATTAAATAAATTTAATAAACAATTTGCTGACAATTAGTGTCTTATATGTGATTAAAGTGGATATGAATTGATGTGATTGTCTGGACGTAAGTTGTGATGACATTGAGTGCCCAAAAGGGATCACATGTTGTGTTTGGCATTCATTAAACGGTTGTGTCTATTGTTTGGTGTGTTTTGTGTGAAATACTATTTGTTGTGTCCTTTAAATCCAATCCACAGAAATTAACACAGAGTCAAAGCCACTAATTCACAGGTTTTGTATACGGCGCCTGTTATACCTGTGTTGGGAGTGCTCACTGTGGTGCAGGACTAACAGTAGGTGATATTCGGTACGAAAGTCATGACTTGCGGGCCTTTAATAGACAGACATTTAAATCCATACAAAACCCAAACTGTGTGAAGAGCAAAATGGTGCTGAAGTTGCCAAGGCTAAGCCTCCTATTATTGGTCAGGTAGCCACCAGTCGTTTCCAGAATAATAAAAGTGCTAAAATTGCTACTTAAGTTGTTTGATATGTTACTTATGATATTCAGATATTATGACCGCTATTACGAGATCTTCGCAAATGTTAACAATAAGTTTGACAGCAATTTCAGTGCAAATAACGGCAGACAATCGGATGGCAATAGCGGTGACCAAAACGATGGCAAGGGATCTAAAGGTGGATCCAATTCAAACCCCTCATTCAAAAGTGAATGTAAATATCATTTACTGACTGTAAGACTGTTGGAGAAAATCGGTGTAATTGTAAGTATTATTCAATATATTTATTTGCATTTAATATCCATTAATAAAGTGCTTAATTAGCTTTCATTCCCAGATTTGTTTATAAATAATTAAATATAATGTTAATTGAGTTTTGTTTAGACACTTTTTATCTGTTATAAAAGCAATGATATACTGTTAACCACTACCATGATTATTGATTATTATTAATTAATTATAACGGTTTAACTTTACTGTTTAGTTAAGTTTACAGTTATATAATAGTTAAGTATTGATTATCAATATTTTATTAACAAAATCTATGTTTTTGTAGTAATTATACCGCTCTCTCTCTCTCTCTCTCTCTCTCTCTCTCTCTCTCTCTCTATCTCTCTCTCTCTCGTTAGGTTAGATCACGTCGGGTGCGGTAAACAAATGCCAGTAATTGTTGTGATTGTTGTCTACAAATGACTGGCATTGATATGAATGGCAGTTATGGAAATATTTTATTAACAAAATCTATGTTTTTGTAGTAATTATACCGCTCTCTCTCTCTCTCTCTCTCTCAAAAGTTGTGTATTATTTTTTATTGCAATTATTTTTATAGCATTAATAAATCATGAGTTGAGCTAAAAAACATGTGTTTATCTCTTGAATTGTTAGACAAATACAAGTCTTGAGGTATTAATTAAAGAGTTTTATCAATAATACTTTCATTTATAGTGTTTTGTTTTGATTGCTTTTGAAGTGAGAGATAATTCATAAAGATATGGATTCAATTAGGGTCTCGTTTAGTACATAATATCAGTTATTTGTTATCACTTCAGCAGAATTACATACAATTTGTCGTTAATGTGAAATATAGTTTTTAACATCCATTACCTCTATATTGGATTCAATCTGTATTTTCAGTAAAAGTCATATCTATTTATTGCTTAACTCTTTACTGCATTTACTATAAAAAAAAGTTATCTAAAAGTCAGATAGAGTTCACAATTACGGCATTTGTTATAATCAAAATGTCAATCGTTTTACACCAAATTTTTATCGTTATTAAGAACCCTAATTTATGTGTTTCTTTACATTATAAGAAATTCACATTTGTCATCAATTCTTTTCCCCCTTTACAAAACAAATTAATCATTTACTAAAATAACTAATGATTTATGGTTTGGCGCGAATAAAGTGAAAGCTAAAACTAAAAGCACAATAAATATAACATTTGTAAATTTATTAACTAATTTTGCACTGATTTTTAAGTTAATTTATGTTTATTTGCTTTTTAACGAAAGGGTGCGGCGATTGTCGTGGGCTTACATTTTGAGCCACCTTTGCATAGAAGATATGGCATTGCATTGCATGGAAGACATCGGTTCAGTAGGCGTTGCACCCGATTGGACACAACAGCAAACAAAGATGAAAAGTCTTGGAAAAGCAAATTTTGTGGAAATTGTAGAGATTGTACTCTATTTCTATCCAAATTCGCTGTCTTTTCGGCACCGATTGGAGATAATTATATTTTCGATAAAACCACAAATGGGGCCATAGATTACCCTAAGATTGTCATCTCAGTGGCAGATGAAGACAACTGTTTGTCTGATCCCATCTCTCAGAGCATCGCAGTTAAGAAATTGGATAAGAAATTGGAAGCGAAGCCCAAATTTGATCCAATCGACGCTATTTGTCGAGACTTAGAAAAGGCGTCCATTCAATACGTGGATAAACTGAATACTATGTTTGGGCTTTCGCTCATTGATTCAAATCCTGAAGAAGCGATGAAGTGTTGGTCATCCACTCATTCGAGTTCAAAGGCATTGTTCAATATGGGAGTGGCCTTCGAGAGCGGTCGCCACTCTTCCACCGGTACCCCTGATCTCAAGAAAGCGTACGAATGCTATAAAGCGTCGGCAGAATTGGGTCACAAGAGGGCCGCCTATAACCAGTCGCTCTTCCATTTGCAAGGAAAGGGAGGCATCGCTATAAACCTGAACAAAGCCGAAGTACTTCTTAGACTCGCTGCCGAATCGGGTGTCAAACCGGCCGTTAATTACATCCAATTGTTGGATGTGAAAAGAGCCCAAACAAAGCCCACAAACTTTATGAGGTATTCGGCCTCTGCTCCAGATTTGTCTCATATGAATACCGAATATATTCAGTCCCGTGCCGTCGCTAATAGGGTTCAGTAGTTGTGTTTAATAATCATTGTTTTTATTTTTGAATTATTATATCATTTATTGTAAAATTATACTCTGAAAATAATTACCAGAATCTAATCCACTGCTCATTTTAATCGCCATATATTGCCATTTAAATCATTATTTACTTAAATTCTAGTCGTAGTTCTCAGTTAATGATTATATAATATGTTTAGTTTTTTCTTGCATTTTATTTTCATATAATTATTTGATTTTTTTGTTCAAATATATATAAACATTAGACATACCTCTAAAAACAAAACCTCGTAAAAACATGACAAAAATTTGTATAAATTTTAATTAAAAATTGTTGAATATATGAGATTTAATCGTATTTGTTGTACAAAATATCAATGAAATTGTCATTTGATTAATTTTTTTTTATTAAAAATTTACTTTCATGCTATACAAATAACCACACTTTCTCTACTCTCGTATTTTGTCACAAAAGACCGGTAATCTACTTGCTTAGTTATGATTACTTATTATCTACTTGGTTTTTAGCCATTGAGAAAAGCAGCCAATGTTTTGCTTATTTTCGTCACTTATATATAAGAAATGCATTTCAATTACAATAGTTTGAAGATATTTTTATTTTCAAAACTTGTGTTAATTATTTTATTGAAATGCAAACAAGTTTTTGCGGCGAATAGTGTTTTAAGCCATTCTTCGCTTATAAATGACTGGAATTCAGTAAATGGTCGGAAGAAGTGTTGAGATTATGTATGCATTGTAAGGATAACTAGATTTTATTCATTGAATATTAGATTGTTGTCAACCGTTGGGTCTGATTGACGGCCGGATACACGACTGGCAACTGAGCGCGTCTTCCAATTACAATAGAGATCCCAATTGTAACGTAAAGTATGCGAGAATTCATATGTGGCCGGGATAGATTGTTGTCAACCGTTGGGTCTGATTGACGGCCGGATACACGACTGGCAACTGAGCGCGTCTTCCAATTACAATAGAGATCCCAATTGTAACGTAAAGTATGCGAGAATTCATATGTGGCCGGGAAGGGGATGGTGTGCCGACACCAACAAAACCAATCATTACCTTCAGATAGACTTAGGCTTCGAAACGGCCATCAATGGTATCATCACTCAGGGACGAGCCGACGGCAAGTCTTGGGTCAAACACTACTATTTGCTGTTCAGTAATGATGCGAACGAATGGACGTATTATAACGACAGACACAGAATTCTGGGAAATAAAGACTCGCATTCATTGCAATACTATTTTCTCACAAATTTAATAATCACACGATTTATTCGCATCGAAATCATTGGATGGCATAACCATCCGGGGCTTCGCGTGGAACTGCTCGGGTGTCGAAAGTGTGATTCCGTAATCAATTATCTGCCGCGAAGTGTTTATAAGGCGTCGAGTGCTCGCAATTGGCCACAAGACGCCTACTGTTCGCCCGAAGACGCCTATATCGACGGTTCGATGGGATGGTGTGCCAAATGGAATAACCAGCACCAGTGGATTACCATTGATTTGGGTCCGCCCGCTATGATTGTCGGCGTTATCACTCGTGGAAGCGGCGCTCCCTTTCGCAGACATTGGGTCACTTCGTACTCCATCTCCTATTCCAATGATTCTCTTCGTTGGACTTATTATAAAGAAGACTCAAATTTGACAAAAGTTAAAAAATTTGACGCAAATATGGATAAAGAGACAAAACGGTGGCATTATTTCGGTAATCCTATTATCGCGCGATTCATTCGCTTCAATCCCATCACATGGAAGACCAGAATCGCGATGAGAATCGGTGTCATCGGATGTCTTATAGACGGGTTCTGTCCGAACGGCTTCTTCCGAATCAATAATAACAGCGAATGCGGTATAAGTTGTTTAAAGACTAGATAATTGATAAGAGTTTCAATTATTTGTCTAAATTTAGTGCCAAACCTCTCCTATCATCGGAACACATGGATCAACGATAAGAGGCATTCGTGGACTAACTGGGAGTTCGGGAATTCAAACTATGCGGTCGATGGGGACGGAGATTATGAACAGTCTATGCAGAAGTGCGCTCTACTGGACAACTACTTTGTCGAGACACCGGTTTGGATGGTAGACCTGACAGAGACTGTGGCCATCCATGGCGTAGTAATAGTCTCGTGGCCTCAACACTACATCCAGAACCACATCCAAAAGTTGACCATTGCTTTTGACAAAAACGCCAAATTCATTACTAATACTAATCAAAGTATTTCTCAGTCGCTTAAAACCTGCGGTCAAATAACGACTGAACAATTGAAAAATAATTCAAGAATTCACATAACGTGTGAAATTCATGCGACCGCTCGCTATGTCTATATCATAGCATTCGGTGGCGACAAACACTCCCGGCTTTTATTCAGCGCTATTTTGTGTGAAGTATATGTTTATTGAGGAATAACAAGCAATTCCTGGTTTGTTTCGATTCTTTAAAGAATTTCATTTGAAAATGATGTAAATAAATGAGATTTTCTTTTTTTTGTAATAATGAAATGTATTGTAAACTTATGGCATTTGCATCACATCCCGACAAATGACATACAAAACAGTTTACAAATATCCATAGGATATCAAAATTTCCTTTTAAGTTTAAAAAGCCATAAAATGTTGCAAACCTTTTCAAAATTATACTAATGTAAATGTGAATTAATTCATTAAAATCTAAAATCGATGTGAATTTTTAAACAATGATTAAATTATCAATACTTGTATTACTATCGTTTGGTCTGTATATTCGGTCATTCCTTACATTTAATGCTAATTATACTTAAATAAAAAAATTTATTTATTTTTTAAAGCATTTTGCGATGAATTTCATAATTCATACGACAATAACTGCATTGGATCCAATAAATGTAAGTATAAAATATATGTTATAATTTATAACTTATAAAAGTGTAAGTGTTTAAAGCATATTAATATTAAATATTATGTGTCGAAAGTTACTGTGAATGTGATTAAATCGGGATCTATAAAAGTGCACGTTTCCAACTGCCGGTCCGAACAGTTGACCAAAAATAAATATTATTTGATCGCATATAAGGCCAGTAGAGATGGCCGAAGAAATGAGACAGAAATCCGTAAAACGATTCAGGAATCGTATAGATTGGGCAAAAAGTCGTCCCCTTTATTGGTTTGGACGCCAATGAATATAACGACCAAATTATCTGATTTGGATTCCAGATATAAATACATATTAGGCATAGTATTACCCGATGACGATCGCGTTGATGATCGAGATATATATCTCGATCCCAATGAAACTATTGGTCCGTATTATTGTTTATTAATTCAAACATAACTTAATTGCATTTGTAATGTCTTGTAATGTTTGTAATCTGTTTTAAAGTGGAGCCAAAATCTCATTTGGAAATTATACTCATAATAGTATTGGCGATACTTTTGTTCATAACTTTCATACTATTGGGTGTTTTACTTTATATGTGTGTTTTAATTAAGAATTAGTTTTAATTGTTTGAATAATTAACTAAAGTTTTGGTAAAAATTTTATAGTAATTATTCGGGAGAAAATCGTTTGCAAAATGTATTTCTTTTGTGGAGTAAAAGCGATAGAAGAAAACTGTTGAGAAGAGACGCCAATGGTATGCAATATAAAGCTTTATATATTAATTCATAACTTATATTTAATTGTAATTACAAACTCATGAAATGGCAATTAATATTTTGTTTTGTCACAAATACAAACATAAAAAATTCTTGTCATTAAATTACTCAATAAAAACTCAATTATTTTTGGGGAGATTTATAAGGATAAGAAAATAACTATTAAAGATAATAACACATTAATACATTAATACATAACATGTACATAACTTTTATCATAAGTTTAAGCAAATATCTTAACCATGTGTTTGGGGTCAGGTTATGACCAGTCGTACCGGACCTCTACCCTATCGTTTGGGTCATTTCACGAACAAGAATTTCAAATCAAATCGCATCCAATTGATCTTGGTGAATTGAGCGATACCGTACCGCTCATGATCGAGAACGGCATCCTTAAGCAGGAGTTTCTCAGTGTGTTTAGGGGACAACTCATGAAATGGGATTACGGGAAACAAGTGCACCACAAGCCCAAGAATCGGTACGGAAACCTATTGCCGTACGACCACTCCAGGGTTGTGCTCGACACTCAAGACAACGATATGAACACCGATTACATTAACGCTAACTTTGTGGACGGCTATAAGTGCCCGAATCGCTATGTGGCCACTCAGGGACCCCTTCCCAACACAATCAACGATATGTGGCGAATGATCTGGCAGTTGGACTGCCATCAGATTGTGATGCTTACCAGTCTTGATGAGGGGGGAAAGGTATGTGTGCTCACCCATTACTCGGTAGCGTTGTATTTGTTGAATAGTATTATCAAACTTTTAACGTACAGAATAAATGCGATAAGTATTGGACGGAACAGACATCCATTTACGGCACTATAAAAGTCAGTTTAACCAAAACAGAGATATTCGCCGATTATATCATTCGCTCATTTATTGCGGAAAAGGTTTCACATTTTTTTGATACAATTCTTACATTAAGACAAAGTTGTGATTGAATTGAATGAAAAACAATTTGCTAAATAGGAAGGAGTTGAGCGCGAAATATTACAATACCATTTCATCTCATGGCCCGACCACACGGTTCCCATGTATTCCTGTTCTTTGCTCACATTTATTAACAAAATGCGGTCTTCAGTGCACTATAAACCGTCGCAACCGATTGTAGTGCACTGTTCGGCGGGCGTCGGCCGCACCGGCACTTTCATACTGATTGACGCGATGCTGGAAATGGCTAAAAATAGCAAACAAATCGATGTATTGAAACATTTCTGTGTTATAAGACAACAGCGGATCAATTTGGTGGAGAAGTTGGGTCAGTATGTGTTCGTACATCAGGCCCTTCTCGAGGCCCTCTCACACGAGCCCACGAGCATCGCATGCAATGACTTTAATAATTACTTCACGAAACTTATTAATTATGACAATAACACTAAATCAGTGCCACTATTCAAACAATTTCAGGTTTTTTACATTCATTTAATGCTAACATGTATTTAATGGTAAAACTTTTTTATTTGTTTGACAATAAAATAATCAGATTCTCAACAAACTATCGCCACAAGCGATGAACCCAGAGCTGTGTCAGAGCGCGAAAGCACATCCGCACCTCAACAGAAGCCAAGATATTATTCCTCGTGAGTAGCAATCGTTACCTCTAATTCGTGTTTATATATAAATCAATATCTAATCAATTATTTTACCCAAAGCCGACTTCGCGCGGGTTATTCTCCCGGGAAGTGACGACTATATAAATGCCGTTTATATAAATGTATGAATAGTTTTTAATACATTGTATAATATTTATTCAATTTTTGTATAATAAATAATTGACAAAAAAAGTTTTTTCCAATGGTTTTAATTATAAACGTTTAGATAAAAGCTAATTAAGCAATGAGTTAATGAGTTATTGTATAATAAACATGTGATTGCATTCATTAATTGGTTATTTTTAATTATTTATCGAAATACAGGGCTATAAACGACGCGACGCTTATATCGTAACACAAGTGCCGGTAGAGACGAGTAGATCCCACTTCTGGCAGATGATAGCATCCACTTCTTCCAAAACCATTGTCCTCCTCAATGACATCAAACAAGACAACCTAATTGTGCGCTCCTTTCGCTCATTATTTTATTATATGCTTTATATTCAATTCAAACCATTCTTCAGATTCTTTAATTAATTCGCAATAATTTGTTTGCTTTTCTTTTCGGTGAATGCTTTCAAATCAACGAAACATTTATAACAACTAATTTTCTATTGTTTTTTATGTTGTTTTATAAATAATCATAAGTATTGGCCGACAATGAGTAACAAACAGTTGGACTTCAATGATAACAAACTGACCATTCAGTTGGTCAGCGAAGAGCATCACAATAACGTGACGATCCGTGTGTTTCATTTGCCGCAAAGCGACACAACAGTCAAACAGTTTCATCTGAAGGGTTGGTCATCGGTGGCCAATAGGCCGTCGCCGCAGATAGTGATCGATTTGCTGGAAATGACTGAACAGTGGAACCTTCAGTCCAACTCCAATAGCATTGTCGTCCAGTGTTTGTAAGTAATGATAATTTGTTAACAGTTAACAACAGGTGTGAGAAAAATTAGTTCATATTTATATTAAACGTTATGAATATATATTAATATATTAAACGGTTTATTAAAAACAATTATTAGTTTAATTAGTAATTACTAAATAGTAGTTAGTATTGGTCTCTATAAGTGTTTAATTATTGTTAGTTTTGTAATGAAATGTATTGATTCGTTAAAAAGCGACGGCAATCACGCGAGTGGTGTCTTCTGTGCGACCAGTTTTGAATGCGATCGCATCAAAGAGGAACAGGAGGTCGACGTCTTCCTTGCCGTTCAGACGGTCCGCACCAATAGACCCCAATTCATCACTGATTTGGTACGACATTCACGTTATTTTGTTAATTAATTGTTAATTATTAAAGCAATTCTGTTGTCGTTATAATTGTATATAAAAATGTTGGGCAGAAAAACGTTAGAGTAATGGAGAGTGTGTTAGAGATAGAGATTTAGTGGACATTTAGTTTTGGATGTGATGTTAATTGCGAAATACAGAAGACATTAATATTAATGTTATTAATTGTGTTAATTAGGATCAGTACAAGTTTTTGCACCAATTGGCCATTAGTTATCTGCAATACTTTGACACTTATGCCAACTTCAAGTGATGATCGCCTTCTCAGTTGATTCGTTGCATTTTTTGTGGCACCAAATAATTCAACAATTCATTTGGTCTCAAGTTTTTGTTTTTTCAATTAATTTATTAATTTCTCTTATTATTGTTTTTGTGTCTAATTTTTCTCTTTAATGTCTTTTATTTAATTTGTTATTAATTATAATTAAAATCCAAAATTCGTATTTAAAAGGACAAGTAAAAAGTAATGTTGTTTTTGAGATATAAATCGTTAATTAATTGAAATAAAAGGATAATTCAATTGAGAGATACAATTGTCGTCATTATTTAAGGATAAAAATAAAGTTTTGTATCACTTTTTATAGTATTTATGAATTCAAAACTTGGATAAAATATCTTTTGGAGAAATATTATTATTGTATTAAAAATTATATTAATTGTTGAGTAATTGTAATATTCGGGTAAATAAAAAAAATTCTCTATAAAATTCGAGTCCATTTTGCGATTAAATATTCAATTAATTAATAATTATATTAATTTGCAATTAAAATCAATCCATTTCAACGAATTGTTGACTTAAACTATAAGTCGCTTAACAGTAAAATGATTAACAATAATGAGTGGGAGTTATTGTTATCTCACATCCGTTGTGGTAAACACTGAACGTGTGGTTAAATAATAGTGCACTTCTTTTTGCGTCCCTTTTCGCGGTGTTTCTTCTTGTCCTTTCCCTTCCGATCCCTATCTTTGCGTATTTCTCTGACTAACGTATAGAAAGCGTCGTCGACTCCCATTCGGGTTTTGGCCGAAGTCTCCACGAAAGGAATGCCGTAATTCTTGGCCACTTCGTTGGCCGCACGCATATCGACAGCACGTGTCGGTAAATCACATTTATTGCCCACTAATACCATCGGCACGTCATCGGCGTCTTTGACGCGCTTTATCTGTTCGGTTATCGTTATGGTTATCATCAGAAATGTAATCACTTATCACTTGTAATAACTTATATGCTATTTAGACAACATTTAGATATATTTATAACTTATAAATAGTATTTATAATTATTTTTCATAATTCATAAATCTATTTAAGTCTTCTATCATTGTCCTAACAAAAGCATTGTTTGCTTAACTCAATGAGTTATATAAACGCGTAAGTGTGCCATAAGAGGCCATCACATACCTGTTCCCTATACATAGAGATGTCCTCAAAAGACTTGGCATTATTCACGGCAAACACTAATAGGAATCCCTCTCCGGTTCGCATGTATTGGTCTCTCATTGCGCTAAAAGACATAACAAAGTGTCAATTAATGGCCAAAAATCTATAATAAGTTTCACACAACACACCTGTACTCCTCCTGTCCGGCGGTGTCCAGTATATCGAGAAGACATGTCTCGCCGTCGATCACCACTTGCTTCCGGTACGAGTCTTCGATCGTCGGGTCGTATTCATCGACAAAGCTGTTCATTAAGAAGCATATCATTAGCCAAACGGTGAGGACAGAGATAAAGGTGTGTCCAGATATAGGATGCGATACTCACTGATTTTGAATCAATTGTATAGTTAAGGCACTTTTGCCAACGCCTCCGGCTATGGGGGGAGTAATCATCAATAGGTTAGTAAATGGGATAACAATGAAAGGGGGGTTTGGGGTGGCATAGAGTGGGTGTACTGACCGCCGACAACGACCAGTTTATATTCGGTCATAATCTCTGCATTTCGGTCCACCATATGATGCAAAAGTATACCACAGTTACGGCCACTCGTCTGATACAAGTGTTTTCGGTCAACAAAATGATTGAGATTTCGGTTTTGTTAACAAATATATTAAAAAACGATAACAAAATTCAACGACAAAAAGCAAATGACAATCAAATTCAATGTCCGTTAAGTCTGTGAATGAGATTACGGGTGAAAACGAGTCAATCAAATACAAAACAGTCGACTCAAGACGTGGGCCACAAATGTATTGTCGATTACGATATATAGTAAGCGATCAATACGTGGACTGTTTGGTCAAAACAATGGTAACAATTAAATGTAATTGTGATTAACGTTATGAATAGAGTCGATGTTTTTGTCCCATTAAACCACTCAATACACTGAGTCTATGGGTGTTATGCCTATCAATGGTTGCCATAAATGACATGCACTGTATGTGTGGGGAATGGGAGGCAAAGCGATCCCAATCTGTGCACAACTTGCAGAGTCCGGCTTTTATTGATTTTTGATTTATTTAATTTGAGTTTTAAATAAGTTATTAATTTATTTAAATTATTCAAATAAACCATATATTGATTGTAATGCATGAATATATGGCTCATATTTCATACGATTATCCGATTAAAGAGTAAACATGTTTTTGCAAACACTTTTGTCATGTCTTATAATAACTTATATCTAATCAAATAAAACACAGATTTAATGCCAAAGAGTTTTGTTTTGTCACAGAATCCTAGAATTGTGTATTTATTGTATTATTGTTGTCTGTTTTGTCTGTTTTTTGGATGCAATTTATGATTGCATTCAAATTCTGGTGTTTATCTGTTTATGGATTGCATTACACCTGACAGTCAGCTCCCGAAACACTGTGTATTATAGCGTATAATCATTTGCTTAAGTAATCGATAGGTATTATAGTTTTCAGAGAAAAATAAAAATTTACAGCGAAAGGAGTTAAGACAACTACGATTGGCACCTGTATTGGGATTGTGTGGTTGCTATCACTGCAATGAATCCGCATATACTATAAACCAGGTATATATCTGGGGGACAGTTGTGTGTGATTTCAGGTGTGTTGACTCTGAGCGCAGGGCGAGAGGGATCGCAATCACAGCCAACGTATTTTATTAACATTAAAAATAGCTTACATTATAGCCCAATACATGCAATACCTATAGAAGTGTATGTCTCATAACAATGGCATTTAATAGGGAGAGAAAAACTACCTGCGCTTATAAGACAGTACAGTATATTCTGTGCACAGCATAAACTCAATACTGTGTAGTGAATGCAATGGTACTGTCATATAATGTGCAATAAAACGTTAACACACTTTTGTATTGAGTGAATGGTTAATGAGATTTGGAGACTCCATTTGGAGACACTATTCGTACAGCCTTTCCATTAGGAGATGCACTGTATTAGGAGATAGTGTTGGACACAGAGTGGGAGGGAGTGGGAGAGCGGGTGAGGGAGAGAGTGTGTCAGAGGGGGTCATAAAAACATCTTTTGTTGATTTGAACGAAACGTTTTTGCAGAGGAGATGAGAGGAAAGGTTTCTCTCTTTTTCACTGTTCGGGCGAAAAGTTTTTGAGACCAAAAACTTTTTTAAGCTTCAAATGTATGGATGAGTGCATTAGTTGTATGAAAGGGAATACACTATACGTTATGATAGGAGTTATGTAAAGGAACTGTGAATTTGATTACAGAATCGGATGACTGCAGCAATAAATGCAAAATTCATATTCACTTCAATAATTATATTGCATTTTATCTAATAGTAAAGCAATACGAATGCATTTCCTCATAAAACTGCTGCACAAATGCATTAAATTTATTTTTATAACCGATTTATTCAATGGTCGCCACAGAGAGTGAGGGGAACTTCTGGCTCTTTATTTGAGTGGACTTTTTTGTCCGTTTTCTTTGGCTTTTCTATACAGAGAAGTGAAAAGAAACTGAAAGACAGATAAAAGCCGTTAAGAGAGTAACGAATTGAACGGCTGTTGAGTGAAAGCCAGTGTTAGGAGAGTTGGAGTTGAGTCCCGGGTTTGGCTGTAATCTGACTATAGATGAGTGAAGTGTTGTTTAAGTAATAGTGGGGACAAAGTTCGCCAAACATTAGAGTTTGTTATGGCATACGAGTGCTGAGCACTGCTCACAAACACTGCATAAAGTCCTATACGGGTCTGCATTTCCATACACTATAACAGACAGAGTGGGGATCTGTAGGACGAAAGGAGAGAGGGATAGGGAGGGCAGAGGGAGGGAGAGGTGAGGCACCAGAACCTGAAGTAAACGATAGGAAACAAGTGCTTCATTGCTTGTCCTGTGCCTCACATATTCTGAGCACAACTTTTACAACAGACTTGTGTTGACTCGAGAAGTGAGTTCTGCACTGCATTTGTGACTCGTTTCACGTTTTTCTCGTTCAGCGTTTGCTTTGCTTTGCCTTTGCTTTCAGTGTTTAGCGAAGAGAGAAGTCGTTATCAGTTTTGAACTGAAGAGAGAGAAAAAGTGCCAAAACTGTGCAAAAACTGTGTTTCCAATACAGAAGACAATCTGTTGTCCAGATGTAAACATTGTCCACATTTTCCTATTGTTTCGTCCGCTTTGGCCATCGATTGTCGCAATCGTTCACTAATTTATTCATTAAACTATCGTTTCGTTCAATTGTCTGAACCACTCATCAGTCGATAGAGTAATTAATACGTGATTTAAATCACAGTTTTGTGTTGTTTCTGGCGTTGCGCTCGTGTTTTGATCAAGTTTTATGAACTCCTATTCAGTTATACTACTTTACAAATTATAATACATTATAAAGTTATGTATTTGTAATCCACACCCAATTGAGTCCCAAATCGCAAACAAATTGATACTTTCGGTGCAATTAATTCAATGTGTGAACTGCTCTACAATGCTATCAATTAAAACCACTGCCAAAAAAACAAATGTGCGCTAAATATGTATAATGTTTGTTGATTTGGATGTTTGAATGCAAAAGAGTTGTTTTTTGAGAGCAAAACAACAAATCACAACAAATTGAAGTCATCTCATAATTGGGATACAAATTGGATCAAACAATATGTCAATCAAATCCATCCATCATTTACTTCATCGCTATTTATTGATAATTATATGCATTTCCACCGCATTTGCATCCAATGCTAACTGTAAGTGTGTTTATAATAATTGTTATCAAAGTTAACGATAACTTTATATATTTATTGCATTTTGCAAATGCTTTTTAAAGCGTTTGCAGCAAAAAATAGCATAAATTGCTTGAAAACTTTGAAAACGGACTCATTTTGCAATTAAAAACTAAATTTTGTTGTTTTTTGGGCACAGTTTTGGAGCGATATTCACAGTCTGGTGTCCAATACTATCAACAGTTGATGTTTGATGTGAACAACTATCAGCTAATAGTAGGCGCCCGGTATGTCCTCAACGGTTCCCCACTTCCCGACCCCTCTTATTATCTCTTATATGTCTTTTGCCATTCATTTGAAGACTTTATTTTAATACCAAAACCATTGAAAAAAAGCTTTTTGTTTTTGCTCTTCATTTGAGCTCTTCTTTTGCTACTTATGTGCTCTCAATCGCTGTTAATGAACGATAAAAATGTTATATTCCCTCAAAAAAAACTTTTTTAAAGCAAATATTATTGCATTTGAAATGACATCTCATATCTAGTGTTTGTTTAATGAGAATCGGGACCAAAACATAGGACCCCACACACCAACTGGCCTTCATGTGACAGACCTATCGTTATGTTTTGCCTAATTTGCTGATGATTTAGTTTTTTCTGATAATTTATTTATTAATTTATTATTTCACTGTTTTTTGTTTTCAACAAAAAACTTATCATATCTTACGAGCGATTTCTTACATACAGTGACAGCACATCCACTCTCTAACCAATAGATCTCTTCAAACATTTGTTAAGTAAATAATATATCAAATGAGATATTATTTCGAGAGCATAGATAAGACATTACTGTTTATAAGAGTAATAATAAACACATGAACAAAAGTTTTGCAATCATTATATTACGGTATATCTGGTCATGAGCTCCTGTTCTCTCTCTCTCTCTCTCTCTCTCTGGGCTTTACATTTATGTTATGGAGAGTGAGGTGAGGCCCACATGGGGTCCCAGAAATCCTTTTTTCTATTATTAATGTTCATTCATTTTTATTACTTTTTTGTGGGTCTATATAATGGGATAGAGAGTGTAAGGGCTGATTGCGCGGGCAGTTTGCGGGGCTATCCCTGTGGTTAAGGGTTAAGGCATACGATTTTAATAGCGCTCTCAAAATAGATGTAATTTCGACGCGAAACCAATTTTATGATTACTTCTCATATGTTTTTTAAATGTATTTCAAAAATAAAAATTGTTTTTATATATAATTTGAGTCTTTTAACAGATGAGCGCATAATATGTTATATTGTTTGTCAAAATCCCAGAGATATTTTTGGCGCTAAATTTTGTGCACAGATTTTTGTTTAAGTAATTATATATTTGAAAAGTGAGACAAATTAGAGTTAAAGCCTATAAAGCATACAATTTCTTGAAATACAATCCGTTATTTGAATTCGAGAGAGAGAGAGAGAGAGAGAGAGAGAACAGGAGCTCATGACCAGATATACCGTAATATAATGATTGCAAAACTTTTGTTCATGTGTTTATTATTACTCTTATAAACAGTAATGTCTTATCTATGCTCTCGAAATAATATCTCATTTGATATATTATTTACTTAACAAATGTTTGAAGAGATCTATTGGTTAGAGAGTGGATGTGCTGTCACTGTATGTAAGAAATCGCTCGTAAGATATGATAAGTTTTTTGTTGAAAACAAAAAACAGTGAAATAATAAATTAATAAATAAATTATCAGAAAAAACTAAATCATCAGCAAATTAGGCAAAACATAACGATAGGTCTGTCACATGAAGGCCAGTTGGTGTGTGGGGTCCTATGTTTTGGTCCCGATTCTCATTAAACAAACACTAGATATGAGATGTCATTTCAAATGCAATAATATTTGCTTTAAAAAAGTTTTTTTTGAGGGAATATAACATTTTTATCGTTCATTAACAGCGATTGAGAGCACATAAGTAGCAAAAGAAGAGCTCAAATGNAAGTAATAAAAATGAATGAACATTAATAATAGAAAAAAGGATTTCTGGGACCCCATGTGGGCCTCACCTCACTCTCCATAACATAAATGTAAAGCCCAGAGAGAGAGAGAGAGAGAGAGAGAGAGAGAGAGACCAAAACGATATACTGTACAACGAGAGAGCACAGGCAAAGTCTTGTCCTTCACGTGTCAAAAGCCAATTCACAATAAGTTTGTACTAAACATAAATTTATGATATTTTTCGGGGCGAAGAATAGGTCCGAAACTTTTTTGGTAGTAATATTTGTTTGGGTGTAGTATTGAGTGAACACTAATTTTCCCCAATAAATAAATTATAATCACTTTTTAAAACAGATTTCGTAATACGAAAAAAACTAATATTTTCTTTAACGAGAATTTCTTTCTTCTTCTCATCAAAAAATATGTTATTCTTGTTTTGTTTCGTTGACCTCAATATCAATCAACGCTTTTATTTACGCCAAAAAACTTTTCTCTCTCCCAAATGGGTTGGCATAACACAAACCTATAGAGACTATTTGGTTCGCGTGGGTTTAGACAACTTCGAGTCGTCGCGACCCGAAGCCCATTACATACCGGCCGACACCGAGAAGCAGAAGCTATGCGAACGGAAAGGCATGAAACGATGGCAGTGTCACAACTATATCACAGTCCTGTTGCCGATCGCCGCCACCAAACAGGTGCTCGTCTGCGGAACCAACGCTTTTTCGCCCGAATGCGAAGTCCGACAACTCTTGAGTTTGTCGACCGTTATTAAGCGCGAGTCCGGCGTTAGTAAGACTGCGTTCAGTCCGCTCTGGAATACCACCGCTCTGTTGACCCAATCGGGTGACTACTACTACGCGGGACCGCTTGACTTCAGGGGTATCGACGCCGCCATCACTAAACATCCGAGTAATCCACTGTCGCCGACCCAGTCGTCCGCTTTGTTGGCCACGAGTGCGCCGAACAAGAAATCCATTTTACGGACACTTCAGTCGGACTCGAAGTGGATTAACGCCGACGCGAACTTCGTCTACAACTTCGAGTACGAGAGTCACATCTACTTCTTGTTCCGGGAATCGGCCGTCGAATACATCAATTGTGGCAAAAAGATCTACTCACGAATCGGTCGCGTTTGCAAGAATGACATCGGAGGACAACTTTACTATAGGGAGAACTGGACGTCGTTTATAAAATCACGGCTCAACTGTTCGATACCCGGATTATTCCCCTTCTATTTCGATGAGATTGAATCCGTCGATTGGGTGGACACCGGTGATGTGCCCACACTTTACGCCACTTTCAATACTCCTGAGTACGACTTTCATTGATATTTAAATTTTATAATACATTGTTTGTAACATTTTTCGATTTATCGCATTAGGAATTCAATCCATGGCTCAGCCATCTGTGCCTTTAGTATCCATTCCGTGTTGTCTTCATTTCACGGATCTTTTAAACAACAGAAGAATACTGACTCCAATTGGGAGAGCTCTCAGGCAAATAAAGACATCTTCGAGTGCATGACATCCAACAAGAATACATCGGAATTACATCAAAGCCAACGACTGAACAGTCAGTTCCAGTTAATGGATTCGGCGGTTAAGTCAGTCAACAGTAGGCCATATGTTGTGGAGACCGACAAACGGTTTCAATTCATTGCTGTCGATGTCATTCAGACTAAACATCACAGTTCTGTGGAAGTGATTTTTGTGACCACAACCGAAGGCCTTCTCATGAAGTATGTCCGCTGGCCTTTCGCCACCAAATCGTGTCTTATTGACCAAATTCGGGTCATTTCCAACACAAGCGACGACTCGATTCTGTCGATGAAGCTCTTGAGAGACACCCAATCGCTATATTTGGGTACAAAACGAGAAATTATTCGCATCTCTGTTGAGCGCTGCCACACATTCCCCGATCGCTCGCAATGTCTTTTAAGTGGCGATCCGTACTGTGGATGGGATCAGTTGAAGATGGCGTGCACTACAGCGCCCGGACGTAACCCCAAAGCCGAGGAATGGATTCAATCGGATTCCACGCAATGTTACGAATCAAAAGCCAATCAATGGAGCGATTGGTTTGAATGCAATCAAATGAATAAAAGTTTGGGCGACCTATGCTTGTGTCGGATGCGGTCGTGCTCTCAGTCCACTTATTCCAGCAATTATTGTATGAATGGTCGAGAAATACAGATCACTAATTGCACTCAAAACGGCGGATGGACTGATTGGTCGCAGTGGTCTACCTGTAGCGCCACGTGTGGATCAGCTAATAAATATCGATACCGAAAGTGTGCCTCTCCTGCGCCGGCCTTTGGGGGACGCAATTGTCGAGGACTTGAACGAGAGGTAAATTGACATTAAAATTGACTTTATATACAGTTTAACTGAAATATTTATTTATTCAGTCGATTCCTTGCGTGAGTCAACCGCCCTGTGCTAACTCGACCTCAATTCAAGAGCCAATCAAACCGGCGAACCAATGGTCAAACTGGTCTGAATGGGAGATCTGTTCGGCCAAATGCGGCGGTGGAGTGCAGTTAAGGCGGCGAAGGTGTGAGTCGACCAGCAAAGCCTGCATCGGATGCGATGTCGAGTGGCGTCTATGCAATCGACACGATTGCGGAGACTTTAAACAACAGTCCGAATGGACGGATTGGCTCATCAGGAATATTACCGGCGATGGCGTTAATGAACAGAGATTTCGATTTGGATGCCGTTCCGAAGGCTTTTCTGCTCACATTTCGACGCGAACTGAGGAGCGATTTGTTGCGTCAAATAACGTGTGGTCCCAGTGTTCGGACGGCGCCTGCAATGGCTTTCAATTCAAATGGACTGGCGTTCACTTTATTAGGTATAAACACCACTCTTTTCATTGTATTGTTAACTTCTTTGTCATTTGAGTCGACATTTGTAATGAAAAATGTAAATTATTTGTCTTATAGTCGGGAATGTTCTTCGCCTCACTGTCAGGGATGGTCTCAATGGTCACAATGGACTCAATGCGTTTACGGCAAACAACACCGCTCTCGCGAATGTCTCGGTGCGGACCGATGTTTGGGACCATTCAAAGAGATGCGTTACTGTAATCAAAACAACCAATACTTAGGCAACGATGACATCAATTCAATCGATGTTATCAATGAGAAGCCGGTCTACAGAATGTCCACCTCTGCAAAAGAGGACGATTCCGGCGCTGAGAACTATAGTCTCCAGAAAGTGCTGTTGTGTTCACTGCTATCGTTCGGTTGCGGAGCGATTATCAGCGGATTATTTATATATTTATTGTTAACTAAAAACGAAAGAATCCGTGATATGAGACATAAGAGGCTCAGTTTGAGGCTATTTTCGCAGCTGAAGACCACGTCCAACGCCTACGAGTCTCCCCACGAATACAAGTCAAACCAATCGGTGTTATCGCCGCTCAATAGTATTAGTCCTGTAAGAGAGGCCACAATCAAAAGGAGTTCAACAATAAGAGCACAATTGCATTCCGACCAAAACTTTTGATACCCCCTAATGACTGTCATATAGTGTTACTTAACTAATAATTCGTGCCGTTATTTAAGACATTTAATGGACTCTAAAGACATTTGATCTCAACTCAAAACCTAAACCAAACGCATACTTATCTCTAATGACAGCTATTTATTTGACTGTTGAGAGCATGAACTCCAAGTCCATACAAAGAGAAGCCAACTATTCGTTTACTCATTAAGTCCTATAATTAAAGACATATGTGTTGTTTGTGTGGTGTTGAGGACGACAATGAATGAGACGATTGTTTGCTTAATATCTCAGAACAAAGAACTTAAGACAAAAAGTACATAATTTAGACGAACAAAAGAGCTCAAAAACTTGTCATTAAATATATTAAACATATTCAAAGTCTCTGTAAATATCATATTTTGTGCCATAATTTTAGATTTTTATTTTCACATCTTTTAAATGAGTTTTTAAAATACTATTTTATATATAAAAATAGAAATTTGTAAATAAGAGTGAATTTTATTGTATAAAATGCTTATTTTATTATTTAAAATATTGTAAAATCAAAAGTGAGACATAAAAGATGAATTTTAAAACTTTGCATTTAAATTGATTGAAAACAACATTATGTTTATCGATATAAGAATATGATTTAACAATAATCACTTTGACTGCCAAAAGTGTTTATCAATTCAATAATTTTTGAAAATTTTACAACTAGTTTATTAAAATTTAGTTTAAGAAATGAATTTTGATAACGTTTTTAAGAATGATAAAGAATGCAAGAAATTAAGTTTTAATAAAAAACATAAAATTTATCGATTAAATGAAAGTTTATTTTTGTTATAAATTACAAATCAAAGAAATATATGAAATAAATGCACGAAATATTGAATAGAAACGAAAGAAAAAATATTATTAAAATTGGTTTCAAAATTAGTAAACCATTAATTATTATAACAAAATGCAAATCCAATTGTCGCTCAAATATTAGTAGTCTTAGTGGTGGGAAGTGGGATAACTTCGGACACATTGCTCAGCCACTCATGTTTTAAAACATTTTCGATAACAATCCGACGGCTGGTCTTTGGCTCTAACAACGAGTTCATGAGATCTGTCAAGTAATCCATACACGAAAAACATCCCATATGTCTGCCTATACTAATGGACTCGAAGTCTTTACGCGTCTGTTTGTCAACGATGGCCAACAGTTGATCCATATTGAGATTTTCATCGAGCAGTTCAGTAAACGGGTACTCGTATTTGATCATGAAATACAAACACACGCCGAGTGACCAGATGTCGGCCTTAATCACGTTCACGTCATGCACGGCTCCCATCTTTGCTTTGAGCGCTTTCTCGTCTCCCATCCATTGGTTAAAAAGGCTTAGTCTTATCATTTGCGGAGACATATAGGGCTTCGTTCCGACGGCTCTACCACTACGACCCACAGCATTACCCTCGGCTTTGCCGCTGTGTTTTTCACTCAATACATGACTCAAACCAAAGTCTGCGAGTTTAAGCACTTTCTGTCCATTCTGTCTGAAGATCAATACGTTTCCCAATTTGATGTCCTGATGCGCCACTTTTATCTTCCCGTTGTGCAACCGATTGACGGCTTTGCAGATCTGGAGGAAGTACTTCTTTGCCATCTCTTCGGATAAGCCTTGTTGTGTCGCATCCATCTCTGTTTCAACGGATCCGTCGACCGCCAACTCCATGAATATATAGCAGAAGTTGTTAATCAGGAAAGTGTCAAACAGTGAGACAATGTTCTTGTGTTTGATGATCGACATGATTGCGAGCTCTGTCTTCAGGGTTTTGATTTTCTTCTTATCTCTATCTCTATCCATACCTTTGATACTGATCTTCTTGATGGCCACCCGAACGCCATCCTTAATCCTAATGATGTCCAATACTTCTGAGAACTGAGTTCTGTGGAGCAATCGCTCAGACGAGGGATCGTAACCACACTCTCGGAGCACATCATTATTGGAGCCGTACTTCTCTGACGGAACTTTGTATTCTTTGGGCAGTTCCTGGTCTTCGATCTTAAATGCTTTGTAGGCCTCGCTTTGCATGCCTTCGTAGGCCGACTCTTGAGGGTTGTATTTCTTAGCCATCGCTGACGATGTCGTCCGGCGAAAGCAGTCGCAACACATTAGGTATTTGAAAATCTTACACATAATCACTGCTTAGATTTAGTGATTGAGTCTTTGAAAACAGTTTTTAGCCATAAATACTTTAAATTAATTTCAAATATTTGCGACAAATGAATTACAACGAGAATTAATTAATTGTTTGGTTTTATTTGAAGTCAATTTATTTTAGTGCTAATCTTTATATTGAATTTAAGTCTCGTTTTCAAATCATTATTAAGATATCAAATAAAAATATAGTGAATTTTTGAATAAATGAATAAATTAAAGTTACATCAATTTAGAAAACTGTTATATCAATACAAATCTATGAAAATTATTTTACATTAAATAAACAGAACAATAATAATATGAGAAAATTAATATACTTGTGTATTTGTAATTTAACTAAAATTAAATATATAATTAAAACCTAAAATAAAGTATTAATTCTTAAAACAATGAATAGCACTAAATATACAGTAATAAAAACTTCTATTAATTAATTATTTGTTCAAAATACTTTATAAAAACTGAATAATTGTAAAAATGTTTAGAATTTCAAAGTTTTAGTCAAAAGAAGTAAAATAAATACGAGACTATTTGTGTGGATAATAATAATAGTAATAATGCATTACAGAAATTCAGATTATAATAACAATCAATTTTAAGTTATTTGTGACTATTTGTAAAATGCAGTTAAAGTGAGTCATTCGGAGTCGGATTCGGAATCACCGAATAGGGCTTCCATTAATGGCATTTGGGGTCGGATTAGGTAACCTCTGGCCACCTCTTCGTTCATTTCATTGCAATCGCAGTCATCGTTGACGAGAAGACACTTCTTGAGCAACACATCCGCGAACTGTTCACTGATCTCACACTTTGAAAGGATGACAATATAGCGAAGGCTTGTGTCTGAAACAAACAACTCATATGTAATTCAGATTACATCCAAACACAATGCATACAAACCGCTGGAATTGACATCCATTTTAAACTCATTCGGAGAATCGCTTCCCAACTGAAGACACTCTTGGATCAGACGATTGAGCTCTGGCTTCGGTTTGATGACCAGCACAGGAAGTATGGCATCGGAACAGACAAACAGACATTGCATTTGACTGAACGGAATGATGAGGTCGTGGGTGACATCACTCGGTCCGCCGTTGGCCGCGATTCCGGCCAAAGCGATGCCGTCGTCGCCGAAGACCATCGACTGGACATCAATGCGATAATTGCCAAACAGGGCGTAAGCGGCCGACCATTCAATCGGAAATACTGGACAGTTGTCGGCAATCGGCGGCACTTCAGGCGCTTTGACGTCAAGTACTGTACGGCTCGACCACCAGTTGGCCAGTCGTGCGGCCCAACCATCGCTCACTCGACCCCCAATCCATGCCTTCATAGAATCCATAATAGATTTGATCACAAAAACAAATCAATGGACAAAAGAGTGACAACTTTTGGACACAAAAAGTGATAATAAAAGACTCGTTTCGAGAATAGAGTTTTCGACAAAAAAAACTTTTTTTACAACAGTTTTTAGTATTGAATTGATTGACAAGAATTGTATGCAATGTATAGTCGCGTGACTTTAGTGTTAAATAATTCAATCGTTTATTCAATATTTTATTGTATGTTATATTAAAATAAGTTTTAATTATAAATTAAACTTTTAATTAAAAAAAGTTAAAACCTTTTCAAAATACATTACAAATGAATAAAATGATAAAAGTATACGATTTTGACATTCAATGGACAGAATCCAGAATTTGGGGGCAAATTGTTGGACAACACGTTATTGATGTGGTGTTTGACTCATAGACCATATATTGTAATGATTTTGTAATAATTGAGTCAATGTTTTGACACTATTTTGTGTCTAAAAGTAAATAATAAACAAACCATTGATTCGTTCATTCGTTTCATGAAATCAAATGTTAATTAAATACTCATTAAATGTGAGACCAATTGAGTGGCAAAACTCACCGCACATTCGTTCACACCATCGATGACCGCAACCGTCCGGCTGTCCAGCGGCTGATCCACTCGTGAAGGACAGGCGACACCACCACTGATGGCCACCGCAGACGCCATTACTGGTCGATGAAGACATGGGTCGCGAGTTTGCGATCATATTATCGCTGTTTATATTGATTTATAGCGACTCTTGTCTGTCGTTTGTCCGCAAATGTGATAACGAGAGCAACGATTCGGTCAACGGTTGCGACGACAGCGCCGACGACCGCACCGTCGATGCCATCGACGCCTCGGATGGCTGTAGGGGTGGACCGAACACAAGCCGTGACCGACACTGTTATGCCGAGTGTCTGTCGCGCGGACTCGTGTTGAACGCCACCAAAGGCTGGTTCGGCACTCACGGCAGTCAACACCTGACCGCCGGTTCGCCGCACTATTGTCTCTGGATTTTGACAACACATCCAAATCTGGACGCATCCGTTGTCTACGCGAAGGCCAACACCCGATCCAACGCCAGACAGACGGCGACCGCGAGTCCGCCGCCCATCAGTCTGACCATCGAAAGAGATATGCGGGTCGAGTGTCCCGACGCTAACATTCAGGTGTTTGACGGCGTGCCTGAGTTCGTGGCGTCCGGCGCTCACAGCAAGAAACTGGGCTTTTATTGCGGAACAGATCTCAAACAAGACATCCATTTAGTGGCCACTTCGGGTTTTTTGACCGTATTCTTCGAGCGCCACGACCCTCACCAGGGCTTCAACGCCTCCTACACTCGCCTCGACTGTCAGTTCTGTCCCGCGTTTAAGAGCCGCGAATGCGTTGACAATCAGTGCGTTTGCGCCGACAATAAGATCGGATCCAATTGTGATGTGAATATCTGTCCAAACAATTGCTCGGCGGCCGAGAATCAGGGCACTTGCGATGCCATTAATGGTCGCTGCGTTTGTATGCCATTGTACGGCGAAGAGGACTGTTCCCAATACATGTCTGCGCCCACCAATCGACTCATTTGGTCGACATTATTCAACTGTGAGGCCACTAAACCATTTCTGCCGACACTATCGATGTATTTGCCGCGAATGGGACACACGTTGGAGAGCACCGAATCGTCTCTTTGGCTGTTTGGCGGCTATTCCAGTATCAGAGGACAGTTGGGAGACATGTTTCGATTCAATCTGATCTCTTCGCGTTGGGAAGAGATCAGCTCTAATGGCAAACCAGACAAAGACAGTCCCCGCTCTGGTCAGCCACAGGCGCGACATTTTCACGCCACAGCCATATCGGGTCATTGGATCTACTTATACGGTGGGCTAAGTCAAGTGCACGGAGTTTTGGCCGACTTTTGGCGCTTTCATACGTCGGATATGAGTTGGAATAAGTTGGAGACCATCGAAGAACTGCCACCACTGGCCGCACACACACTCACCGCTACTGACAATAAACTGATACTTATTGGTGGCTATTCTCCGGAATACGGTTTCCTCGAGAAGACCTTTGAATATAATATAATTGAAGACAAGTGGAGAGTATTGAACACGAGTGGCGTACGGCCTGTGGGTCTGTACGGCCACAGCGCTGTCTATCATTCCCAGTCCAACACTATATATGTTTTCGGAGGCGTTGTCTACGATATGGATAAGACATCGATATCGGGTGATCTCTACGGGTTTGATGTAAATAATAGTGTTTGGTATCGATTGCCAGCCGACGAACAGATCAATCCGATTGACTCGAGACCCGAATCCCGTTATTTCCATTCCTCGCTCTCCACTGAACTCTATATGATTATAATCGGCGGCCGAAGTAATGATAGCAATGCTATCGTAAACTCGATTTATACATATATCTATCGCTGCAATAAATGGATTTCTCTGCAAATGAACTCAATTCCAGTGAGCGGTCAGCCGCCCGACCCCGCGGTCGCCCTCTCGGCCACAATACAAGACTATAATCTCTATATATTTGGCGGAACTAATGGCCAAACGAATGGCAATTTATATCGACTCTCTTTACCAAAAGATTTGTGTCAACTCTTCTCACATTCAAGACTCGGATGTCTTCGACATATCGGGTGTTCTTATTGTTCTGTTTATGAGAACGGCTTAAACAAAACGTTTTGTTACTCTCAAGACTTATCAATACCTCAGAGCTGTTATAACCCAAAGGGCGCTTCAGAAGTGGCTCAGGGAACCAGTTGTGGCTACGAATTGCTTGAACGCCGCAGTTGTTATCAATACAAAACTTGTATCGATTGTGTGGCCATTTGGCCGACGTATGGGTCGAGCAAACAGGTGTGTCAGTGGTGTTCAAACTGTCAGAGCGGCCGATGTATCCCAATCGGCGCCTCCTGTGAACGCGAACCCCATTGTACTCTTCAGCCACGAGTGATCACATCCGGCCAATTGTGTCCATTGCGGTCCTGTTTGGCCAGCGATTGTCAAAAGTGCGGTTCCATTGGGGGCTGTATGTGGACGAGACAAGTGTTGCGCTCAGAGTTGGGCCGCACTTTAAACGTCAAACCAATCTTTGACTGGACTTGTGTTCAGAATATACCACAAGACGTGACATCGATTCTGGTTGAGTCTATGCCTCCGCTCTCATGTCCGGCCCGTTGTTCGCGATTTACAAATTGCAGCACTTGTTTAGAGAGCGCGGGCGGAGAGGGCGGCCATCATTCCTGCTCTTGGGCTCAAAACATTAATCAATGCATTTCACCGAGTTTTGTGCCCCTCAGGTGTGAGACCGGACTCTGCGGTAGTCTTGTGCTGAGCGGATCAACGTCTCAATGTCCCTTTACTTGTCAACAGTTAACCCAATCAGCGCACTGTCTGTCGCGCCCCCACTGCGGGTGGTGTGCCTTCAATGGATCCGCTGTCGATGGTAGAGGTATTTGTATGGAAGGACAGCTGTTTGGGCCAATCGGTGGCAGTTGTAAGGCGGGACAGGTCGGCGTTTTTGGTCAGCCCTTGTCTGCACTCGAATCCAAATGGTTTGCACAATCAGAAGGACCGCCACAATGGGCTTATTTACAGAGACCTAAAGGTAAGTGGTTTTAGTGGTTAATATACATTACAATTAGTAATTGAATTATAATTTCTCTGATATCCAGAGAATGAATGTCTTAACGGACACAACACTTGCGATGAGAGACATGAAGAGTGTATTGATCTCGAGGATGGCTTTACGTGTAGATGTAAACCCGGATATGTAATCGATGGCAACCAGTGTAAGGCTACGTGCCATCAGGGATGCGTGTTTGGCACGTGTGTCGCACCCGATGTCTGTCAATGCAATTTCGGTTAGTTATTAACATTTGAATTATTTTGCTGCAAATGAATCTAAAATGTATTTTATAACAAATACCCGTCTAATGTATAATAGGTTACGTCGGGTCCAACTGTTCGCTAGCGTGTGAGTGCAACGGCCACAGCAATTGTGCCGGAATTAATCGGTTGAGCGATTGTCTGGAGTGTCAGAACCACACACAGGGATCTCAGTGTCAGGAATGCAAACCATATTATGTCGGAAACCCTATAAATGCTGGCAAATGTGTGTCGTGTCGGACGTATTGTAACAATCATTCGGATGTTTGCTTCGACCGCAAGATATACGACAATTTCAATTCGACCGGAATTTTGCACGAATTCAATACTCAAGAAGACACGGAACGACTGGCCGGCCGTCCATTAGTCCGCGGCTCGACTGCCGCTATTTGTGTGAACTGTAAGCACAATACGAAGGGAACGGAATGCGAGTCCTGTATTGACGGCTATTTCCAAAACAACGCCGAGAGGATCGGTGACGGGTGTCGGCGCTGTCACTGCAACGGCCACTCAGACACGTGTAACAAAGTGACCGGAGAGGACTGTCAGTGCGATAATAACACCGAAACTGACAGACAGTGTTCGCACAACAGCAGTAAGACATCGTTGACTCCCTGTTGGCAAATGCAGTGCTCGAAGTGTAAGGAGTACTTCTTAGGCGTCCCCACGAATGGTCATCAATGCTATCGACACATGTTTTTGGACAAAGACTACTGCTTTGATCCCAAAACACAGGAGGAATGTATTCGAAAGCCTTCTGGACTATCAGTGGGTCGGACGGTGTTCTTCGCGGTTCAGCCGCGGTATATGAATGTCGACATCAGAATCTTTGTGGACGTCACCAAAGGAGCGCTCGATTTCTTTCTATCGGCAAAAGAGGACACATTTGTGGTCGAAGTGAACAAAACAAATGGCATTCATTGGATTTGGTTGGACAAGAAGTACACCTCACAGAACACATACGGCAACAGTTTCGACGATTTGGACAGCCTTTCGCTCAGAGACGTGATGAACAGCAACTCGTCATCGAGAGTGAGCTCAACGAAGCCACAGACGAGTGGACCGGCGCTGAAACTGCGCCACTCGTCGGCCAATGATCTGATTTACTACTTAACGATTACGGATCCGAACGAATTTCTTGTGATAAGAAACCTGAGGAATCGTTTAGTGATTACAATACCTCAAGAAGTTCATGACCTGAGAAGTACTCGATTTTATATGATTTTAAAAGCAATTCAAAGTCAATACGAAAGCGGCGCCAATGGAAGCGATGACAATAGTTATGGCAATATATTCTTCCGTCAAGACCAGAGTCGCATCGATTTGTTTGTCTTCTTCAGTGTCTTCTTCTCGTGCTTTTTCCTATTCCTATGCGTTTGTGTAATGGTTTGGAAAGTCAAACAGGCGTTTGATATGAGACGCGCCCGACGTCTGCACGTGGCGGAGATGAAGCACATGGCCAGCAGACCCTTCGCCACTATACTCCTCCATATGGACGGCTCGTCCGCCACCGACGACGTCGAGTTCGCCCTCTCCTCGCCATCACATCTTCTCAAAGAAGGAAACCCCAGAAAATGCAGAGCATTTCGATTCAGAGGAAGCATTTCGAGTCAGTTTCACATCCAATGCCTTTTCATTTAACACTTTATTAATGACTATTAATGCTTAACTCGGAACAGGTCTGAAAGACTCGCCCAAAGCTCAGGTACATCCGGAGCCGTTCGACAAGTACACCATACGTCCGGTGGCCGTCGAGCCCACAGCCGACGGCGTGTCAGCGGTGGTCACAACTCTGGTTCATCTTCCGGGCGGCAAATCGGCGCCAAACCGCATGTGTTTGGCCTCAACGCTGGTCTCATTGCGTAACTCTCACCACATATTGAACGCCAACGCGAGTCACGGCTCCGGCAATAATATGGGAAAAGCCGGCGTCGGAGCCGGCGTTTGGCGGACGGCCATCAGAAGACGGCCACACTTTGCGTTCTAGTCTTCAGTGTTTTCAAAACAAGTTTTATTTATTTTTAATTGAAGTATAATTTAAACTGTGATATAATATTAGAAGTCTTTTTTCTAATTAATTTAATTAATTAAGTAATTGATTGATTAGTTCCTCATTTTAAGGACTCATTTTTAATTTCCCACTCATTGGAAACGAAATGTAATTTATTTTGATTTCTCTAACGAATCATGAAATGAAATCATAACGAAAAAAACCAAAAATATCGTTATTTTATATTACCATTTTAAATCGTAATCGAAATAAAAGTGCATAACATTTGATTATTTACAAAATTAATGCAGTTTTTATTTGTAATTTTAGTTCACTTTTAAAATAAGGTATTTTTCGAGACAGACCTTAAATTTATGGGATAAACGAAAACATAATTTTGTTATTTAACTAAAAATGTTCGACAAATTATGGGACAAACAATTAAATACAGCGAGAAATCGATTGATTAATAGTGTATGTAATGTATGGATCAGTTGATGGCGAGGGCGTCGTTCTGCATCTCATGGGTGACCTGAGTCTGCAAATCACTCAACTTCTTCTTGAGTTGATTGAGACCAGACATGACTATATTCGCCGGTTTCATACATCCGGACGACTCCACTGTGAAGAAGAACTTATTGGGCTTTCCGTCCCGTATATAGTCGGCCTCGAATTGGGTGTCTTCGTCCGTGAACTCCGAGTACTCACTTCGCGGCCATTCCTCCGGTTTGGGGTAAACCGTGTGTCGGAAAGCGTTGTCCGGATCGTACTCGAAGGCCACTCCACACGTCGGGTTCCACTTCGCGTGCTCTTTGCCGAACCCTAAGACACACAATACACCAATCAATACAACACATCCAATGAAGACAAAACGCTTCACTCAAAGCCATACCTTTCTTGGCGTAGGCCTTGATCTTGAGCTCCTGTCCGCGCCGTAACTTCACAATCAGTATCTCGTTGTCCACATCCGCCTCGTCGTAGTCCTCGTCGTTGTCGTGATGTCTGGACGAGACGGGAACCACTCGCGCGTCCGACGACTTGAGGTCAGCGCTGGTCACGGATTTGGTCTCTTCTGTCGTACACTTCACGTCAAGAGTGAACTCAACGGAACAGTCGGGACAGAAGTCAACGCACGTGCAGTCTCTCGAGTACTGCATTCTGTCCACCACTTCATCGCAAGTCAATGGTATTAAACCCAAGCGATGAGCGATGAACTCGTCGTGAAGAACCGATGAGTTCGCCTCCAATTGGACCCAATCTATGGCCAGAGTCGGCACTTCGGCGATGAATACACGCCGTATAGCGTTGGCGACCGACAGATCCGTGTCTTCGACACTGAATTTGATGCTCTCATCAGTGATACCGGCGTCAGGAATGGTCACCGATGGCTGATTGGCGTACGGCATGACTGCTTCCCAGATATGTCACGTCTTCGGCGATTGTCTCGAGAGAAGTGATCACAAAATTCAAAGCGTTTGCCAAAACATAGACCAAAACAATGCCTCAAATCACTCATAAATTACGGCCAAAAATAATCGATAAATTATTTGTTAGAAATGCATAGAAATGACTGCAAAAGGGTATCACTTGTTGTTTAATGTATTGAGACGTTTGTTATGAACACATTATAAGTGATTTTTTCATTGGAAACTTTGAAGTTAAAAGTTTTAACACGATTTGAATTGAATTTTATTTCATTAAAAAAATCAATGGATTTGTAAATTATATAATAAATATAGGAAAATATTTGTATAACAAAAATTTGTGGCAATCGATAGTTAGAAATCATAATTCAGTTTTGATTTGTTGTTTAATGACTGGATTGGCGACAGTCTTGTCGATCATTGAGGGTCTGGTCTTTCGGACATAATTGACAGCAATAGTAACCAAACGCTTAAACTCTTTGGCGTCGAAACGATAATTAGTAAACTTAGCGTCGGCTGAGAACTGAGGGTTTTCTGACTTGTAATTACTTTCCTGGGGATAGACTTTTGAGCGGTCAGTCCATGTCATGTAACGCACGCCTCGGAGTCGAGACAAGTCCTTATAGCAGTGCTCGTCGTCGCAGTTGTAGAGCTCCATCAGAACCGCCCAATCGGGCTGAAAGAGCGCGTGTGTCAGACCCGCTCCGTGTATACCAATCAACACATCGCTGTTGGCGCTGATTGTCATCTGTTTGTCAAACGACATCCAGTGATTGAAGTCGTGGATCTCCACCGACACGTCGGGCAGCGCTTGTATTTCGGCCATCAGTTCCGCTTCGTTCACAATCTGTCTGTATTTGGTTCGCCTCGAAATCATCGTTATTCGGACCAAATTGTCGTTTTGCGGAACCACTGCTTCGATGCCCAACCGGTGGATGAGGTGTCGATTGAATGCCCGAAAGAGTCCGCTCTGACGACAGCCGGGAATGAGTGGCATATTATAGTAAATGCCAAAAATCATTCGCGGAAGTAATGGCAGTATTAGGTCTCGAAAACACACTTTTTTGCCTTTGAATTGTCCGATATTGAGGACAGGGTTTCGTGTGAACGCATTCCACACGACACCGAAGTTTGAACGATAAGGATATGAATCCCAGACAACTATATTGTTGTCCGTAGAAAATGAGTTATTCAGATGAAGACTTGCGTACAAATTGATGAAATCACAGAAATGGTGATACATATTAACCGTTGCGTCCAATTTCATGATAAACGTCGGCTTTTCGACCCATTGGTCGCACTCTTCGTCGTCCGACAAAACACGGAAGTTCTCGATCTCCGCGAACCACGACTGGAGAGGACTCTTGTGCTGACCCTCGCTCTTGAGGTCGCGCTCGAGAAGATCGCAATTCCAACCGCCGATGTGTTCGCCTCTGAGAACGTCGTCCCGATATCTGACGGGTTCTTCCATTTTGGACAACATCTCAAAGTCAATCAAAATGTTTTTCGCCGAACAATACCTCATATATTGAGAGCATTTAAGCGATGAAATCAATTGCTTGCCGTTTGTTCTGGTCTTCGGTCGACAGAAATACTTCATTTCGGCGTTTCTTTGGCTGACATAACCGAAGTCCGCCGAATCCCAGAACACTTTGATGGCCTCCAACTCATTACGAGCCCAACCGTTGGTCTCTTCGGGACACTCGGGTCTTAAGTAGACGTGACTTTCATCGCAATCGCGTTCATAACCCCAACACTCGGCCCCCAAACCGGCGTTCACTTCACTGCAGATCTCTTTCTTCTTCAGCTGAATATCGTTGACATTGATATGTGTTTTGTTTGAATCCAACGCTGATATTGAAAGACATCGTTCATCAGATACGGGACACCCATTCAATGGTAACTCACTTTCGATGGTAAACGAGTCCAAGTCTTGTCGTTCGCATAAACTCTTCAGTAATTGGTATTCATTTCTGTTGTTTCTCAACCAATACTTCAAGTGATCCGAAGGAAGCGATGGTATAATCAGACAATCGTTGATTGAAATTAAGTAAAAGTTTAATAAATTAATTAATAAATAATGTTTTGTAACGAGAAATGAATTCATCTCTCATTTCCACACAAAACACAAACTTATGTCACAAACAATTGTTTCAAAACCGACTCAAACCACACGTCGAGCAGTCATTATAGTGACCACAAATGTGGCGGATGTATGGCTTAGCGCATAATGTGGTGCATATGTTATGCCTTCACTTAAACCGCACTTCTTTATTGCGAATGCCTTTACATTCAAGTGAATGATGCCATTCATGGCCGACACAGATATGACTGTGCGATGCCTTTCCACACATATGTTGTTCTAAATGTCTCTTTTTGTTTGATTGTCAAACTTATTGTGCGAAAAGCCTGCGATTGGCCTCTATTTACGCTATAATCGAGTTTTAATTAGCATTTTATGGACAAAACAATAATCAAACTTAATTCACAATTAAATCACATTTATTAAAAAATTATTTTTAAGTTAAAAATAAGTTTTTTTTGTTATAAATTCAATTTTAATTTAATTTTATAATAAATAAAAAACATTGAGAATGTTATCAAAGGCTACTAAACTTATGAAATAAATAGTAATGTAGTCACGGTATTATTTAATTTAGTGCCAGTAATAGTAATTATTCATTCAAAACAGAGTATATTTATATTATACAATAACTTCTCGTTTATTATATTAAATTCTGTTTAATGAATAAATGTTTACTATTTTCAGTCCAATGAGTTATTTCTTTCTTGTCAAATGTATTGAGAAATACTGTATATATTATTTAAAAAACATGATTTCAAAGTACAAATGCTATCACTTTAGTCATTGAGTAGAATTCTCGGTCATTAGTTCCCGTTTAAACTGTTCTCTCGTCTCAGGCAACATGTCTTTCGTGATGTAATCAAAGACACAATTAGTGATGGTTTCAATCATTTTGGTCACAACATTGGCGTCGGACTCACTCTCGAGTCGAACGCAAAACAGTTTCTCGAGCGGACTCTTCTGGTCGTCGGACTTCACTTCTGGTAATTCTATTTGAATGACAGGCTTCGGAGGGCCGGGCGATGGACTCGGCGTTTGTACGTAACTATAATTGCATGCAATTTGATCTAAAGAACCACTGCCTATAGCGTAGTGTTGTGGCACCGGTTGGTGTTTCACTTTGTACTGTCCCCTCCCGACCACTAATTCCAGTTCAAAGGCCTGTTTGGCCGCTTCCAGCGATAACTCCTTCGTTTCGACCGTAAATTTGTTGCCTTCTTTCGGATGAATTCGTTTCTATAAAATTATAATTCATTTAATAAGAGTTTCAATAATGAAATATATAAAAACTGACGATAAAATTAGTCCTATGAGCGTAACCGCAGACATGGGTAATGACTTCGCCAGATGTGGTGAATGTGCGACAAAGTGTGCACTCGTATAGACGAGCTTTGGATGGGTTCGGGTCGATGTATTCGCAGATAAAGTCCAGTCCAATCACGGGTTTACTACACATTCTTAACTGTTCGGCCAATTGTTTGTGAAGCTCTAAGTGCTCTGAAATCAATGCCAGCGATGCGATAGAAATATCACAATTCTGTCAAAAATATTTGAATCCCATTAATGAAATTTATTTTATATAATTATAACAATGATTGCATTATTACTTCGCAGACATAAGCATTTGGTCCGATGCCGTCCTTAAGCCGAATACCTTCATTGAAATACTCATTCTTAATAACATTACTTATTTTATTCAATTCCCCCTTTCGGGCCAAAGCAACCCTCGTTTCGCCTAAATATTCATTAAGAAAATAATTAACTAATTTGTTGATAATTATAATCAAATCATTACTTATTCTCTCGGATTTAATGGTAAACTTAGCGTCAATTCCTTTGAAATTGTCTCCAATTTTGGTCTAAATATGACAAATAGTAAAGCAATGAATAATTAAAACCAATTAAATGCAAAACCAATTGAATAAAAGTGACAAACTCTGTGGTGTTTGGGTGTCTCGACGTGTCTTTCGGCGGCGTTTAAGTTATTACAAAACACTTCACAGAAGAGGCAGTAAAAGCCATTCAATTCGTTTTGAGTCCTTTTGTCCATTCCTTCGGACAACAGTTTTTGAGATCTCGTTTCCTCTGACTTTCGCTGAGACTCGATATCCGACTCGACTTTTATGTTGACTAAAATATTATTGCCCGACATTTGGTTGACCTGTTGTTGAGCTGTGACGGGCGGCACCGGTAGTGGAAACAATGGCGCTCTGGAAGGGGGCGGCACAGGCATCGGTACGGCCACCGGTGGCACCATTTGTGGCACAGTCGGTGGCGGCACAGGTTGTGGCACCGGTTGAGACATTTGTGAGTATGTCGTCGGTATGGGATATTGTGGAACCGATTGATTGTTAAATGCATAAGAATTCATTTGTTGAGGTCTTTGAAGTGCTGTTAATGAAGACGAGGGATGATATGGTTGGTTAGGTGTCGGCGCCGGTGCTCTGTTGGCGTTTGGCATATATGACTGGTGTTGTGACGGCTGTCCATACGGTTGTTGATTATGATTAGGTGTCGGCAAAAGACCCGTTTGTGGTCTCGTAGACATCGGTTGGCAATAATTATTTGCGGTCGCGTTTTGGGGGTTATATTGTCTGCAAATACATCAATGTTTTGAGCAAAAAAATCAAACAATAGATCCATTACTCAATACCTGATTGGCTGGGATTGAGTACCATTTGAATAATCAATCACTTGAGCCCTGTATTGATTGGCCGCCGGACCAGGAGTTCGGTTGTGACCAAAATAGGGCTGATTTCGGCGATAATAGCTGTTATGGGTTTCGTTATTAACATTGTGTCCGTTCGGCCGTCGGTTAGCATTGACTGCATTTCTGTGGCCGTAATTGTGGACCTGTTTTGGCTGCGACTGCGGACCCATTGGCGCCGCCATTGCATTAGTATTACTCACGAGTGAATGGTTAGTATTGGCGTCAAAACCATAATAATTATCATTCAATTGATTTGACATTTTATTCAAATAAATATTTTTTATTTAAAACTCTTTTAAACATAAAATGTTTGTCAAAATATTATACTTTTGGGAAAAAAGTACTCAATTATTGCATTAAAACTAATTAAACGTATAATTAAAACATTTTTTATAATTAATATTTAAGATTAAAGTTAAACACAATTAAAGTTAAACCACTTTTTGAGTAAAATATTTGATTGTTTTGAATGTGAAAAATCTGAATACAGTATGAAATCCAAAAATTACGCCAAATTTTTGTACGATTTTTGAGTGATTTTTTTTGTGACAAAAAAAGTTTATATTAATTTGTCTTTGAATTGATTTGTAATTTAAATCTAAATTTTAATTAAATTAAACTTAATTTCATGTCTCCTTCACTATCACTAGTGTTCAAAGTTTTTGTTCACAAATACCGCTCTTTTCGGACATTTAAGTCTCGAGTGTTTGAAAAATGAGTTCATTTTCAGACCAGTTGTCAAACAAACTTCAATAAAATGGTCCAACTTTTTGATGGGCTTTTTGCGGTCAAAATAAGTGGTCAAGTCTTCGGCCGTCAACTTATCGGCGTTTTCGTTGTCGTGATGTCTCTTCAGATGCTCTCTCGCCGTCTCATTGAGACAAAACTCGGTCTTCTTGTCCTCCATATCACAGTCAATGCAAACGTACGGAAAGTATTGGAAGTGTTGGTGTAAGTGATTGCGAATGTAGTCCTCATTCACTGCCTCTTTCAATGTCTTATAAGGAGAAGTTCTTCGCTTCGTATCACTGGTCGTATCTGTCGTTTGATTCCTCCGACGCTTAATAGTATCACAAACGGGACAAAAGGTAAGGTATGTGCGGATCAACTGAGAAGTCAATTGGCACTCATTTGGCTTATATTCGACGTAATGGTCGCACCACTTCTTGGCGGTCATAAACTCATCCAAATATAGCATTTTGTTTCGATCCAAATGTCTTGAGTTATGACTTCTATAGTTCGCGAGTGAAGTAAACTTTTGATGACATTCTCCGCACTCTATATAGACATCCAAATGAATCAAATAGTGGTTCTTCGCCGCCTCTGCGGTCACACAGATCTGAGGGCAGAGAATACACACATATTTATGACAACTATCACTGCATTTATTCTCTGTCTTTATGGGTGTCATCGGTTTGAATGGTGTGAATGACTTCAATACACTCTCTGTTATCAATTGTTCTTCTGTTTTCAATGTTGCCTTTGGACGCGTTGTCTTCGGGAAACCCATGGCTTCCATTGGCTGCGATGTGTTGAAGCGCAACATTTTTATCGATGAATCATTTCTTATGAGTGCTATTCTCTTCAGTGGAGCCGTTGTTTTCACTGAACTTTTTGGCCGCATGTGAGCCACTGTTTTCAATTGATCCATTGTTTTCTTTGTCAATAGACCCGATCTCTTCATGCCATACATTGTGGCGATTAGTTTCCTTCTCATCGATGAATCCGTGGTCTTCAGTGAATCCAATGTCTTCAGTGAATCCGTGGTCTTCCGTGAATTCAATGTCTTCACTGAATACGATGTATTCATTGAATCCGTGGTCTTCTGTGAATGGGTTGTGTTGAGTGGATGTGTTGTTGTAGTGGTTGGAAGTGTTTGAGTGATCGCATGGAAGTCCTGTTCGTCATCCGAGTCCGAAAGCTCTATAATTTTGGACGAATCGCCCATTCCTTCGGTGAAACTCTTAGTCCACCAGTGGTTGGCCTTCTGGTCGACGACGCGCTTCCTATTGGCCATCACTGGTTGGGATCCGCTGTTAATTCGGTTCACATTTCGTCTAATAATTTCCGATGGTTTCAATGTCTTGGGATCCGTTGTCAACGAGTGATCACATGATGTCTTGTGGCCACTCCTCAACAGTTCCATTGTTTTGGACACTAATTATAATCAATTGATTGACTAAACAAACCATTGGTTTGTGTTTTCAAAAGCAAATCATTAAATTGTGATTCAAATGAATGCAACGTTTGATCCAAACATCAAAACAATAATAAAACATCACTTAAAACATGACAATCATCTCAAATGCCTGTCATATGATTGGTTCACAACTCTTATGAGGCATTAGAACAGTGACTGCGACTGCGCTCTGACTGCGACTACACTGCGATTCCAAGCGATTACAAACGTATTTCCAATCATTTTCAATGACTTCATGTTTGCATTGCGTTTACATAACTTGTATTGCATTACCAGTACTACTATTAGTGCCAAATGTGGCCATTAGTTGACATTATAATGGGTTATGCAATACATTAGTTACTCATTCGCTATAACAGAGTTCACTAATGGTATCACAATAGGCCGGACACTATGTGCGCACAAATGGATGAGTTGTGTGTTTTTGCAACAAAACTTTATTTCATTTATTTGGAACCGCAATTCATTAGCAATCATGTTGTACACAGTTATAGGGTCGTTCTGCCCCCACCCCCTCCCGCTTTCTCTATGGGGTTTTAACATGGGATCCCAGAATATGTTTTTGGTTATACTTTATTATAACATGGGGCTAATGTTAAGTCTATGGCAATGCTAATCCTAGTGTTTTGCATCACCCGAATTGTGGTTAAGTCATAGTAAGGCTTGTGAGCCTTGTTTAGAATTTAATAATTATTTGGATAAATAAAATTAATAAATAGTAAAACACAATATGTTTTTGGTTTATATGAAACAAATTTCAAAATATTTAAATATACAGTACATGTATGTATGTCAGTAAATCACGGGTCTATGACATTTGCTCGAAGGACATTTGCTCGAAAGACATTTGCTCGAAAATATTTGCTCGAAAGACACTTGCTCGAAGACAAATGCTCGAAGACATTTGCTCGAAGACATTTGCTCGAAAAAATTAACTTTAATATAAATTAACTTTAATTATAAAATTAACTTGTTACGCCTAATCAAACTTATCCAAACTAAACTAACTAACTCTTATTTAATAATATTATTTGTAATATTTACTAATTTAATGTATTTAAAGCAAATTAAATAAAAAATTTTCGAGCAAATGTAAACTTGTTACGCCTAATCAAACTTATCCAAACTAAACTAACTAACTCTTATTTAATAATATTATTTGTAATATTTACTAATTTAATGTATTTAAAGCAAATTAAATAAAAAATTTTCGAGCAAATGTTTTCGAGCAAGTGTCTTTCGAGCAAATGTCTTTCGAGCAAAAGTCTGCCTCCGATGTAAATCACACATCGATTATCATTAAATGATGTGAAATGTTTAATACATTACACTTTCACTGCGAGAATAAAAATATATAAATTTCAGTATTTGTGAGCAAATATTCGTCAAATTGTAAAAACATTAAGTTAACAGTTAATCCATAGAGTATTCAAGCATTTAAATTTTTACAATTTAATTGTAAAAACATTTATAATTAAGTTATTTATGGGATGGGAAGCGGGGGTGCATTCGGTACGGCGTGTATGGGCTGTGAGTGAAACATTATGGTATTATCGGTATTACTGTTAGGCACTCGAGTATACGGTAAGAAACCTCTGGATCTCATATATCCAGTCATTTGTTGTGGTATTTCACGCAACACTTCTTTGGCCAGATCTGCCTCCGCTCTAATGAATCGGCCGTTTTTGTTGACAAACTTATTGATGGGCACGAATTGCACGATATCTCTGTCGGCGTACTCGCCGTACAAATGCAGTCTCACGTAATCCGAGTCCAACTCATCCATTGCGGCGAAGTTCGCGTTCCCGACGCCCACTATAATGATAGACATCGCGAGTTTGGACGCCTTAATGATCGCCCGCTTCGTGTGAATCATATCGGAGATAATGCCATCCGTTATGATCAACAAAACAAAGTAATGCTTTCCGTTGTCGTATTGCCGGGCAATGGATGCCGTGTTATTGATAACGTCGGCGAAGTTTGTCGGCCCGTAAAGTGTGACCGAAGATAATGTTTTGCGGTAGTGGTCGAGCACTTCAGTCACTCCACTGCAGTACGGATGCGATTGACTGCCATTCAAGTGGAATAGATGTGACACTTCCCAAGTCGGCGGGATCTTCGCTCCGAATCCAAACGCCGGATAAATACCGGCGCTATTGTAAGGCTCTATCACTTGGCCAACACTTCTAAGGGCTATCTGGTATGGGTTGGGTCGGCCCGAGTTATCCATATAATGCAGTGATTGCCGATTTTTTGGCGGGCCGTTAGAGGCCGTGAAATCGATGGCAACCGCGAAATGCATTTGAGTTCCGCCACGAATATAGTCGAGAAAAGTGATCTCTTCGGCCACTGAAATAGTGACCACTTCAACGAATCCACTATTCGTGTAATTTTGGTCATTCTTTTTCTTCTCATTTACAATCGGATAACTGTTTTCACCAGTATTTTGAGTGAGTTGTCGCAGATTTGTGAAACAACTGCCGATTAGTTTGTGGTCACCGTTGGATCGCTTATCGAAACAATCGATTTTAATAGTTCTGTCATAATCTCCATTACATAGGGATCTGACTCTCATAGTGATGGGCATCCAAAGGGGGTTCTGCGTTGAAAAGACCGCTTTTGTCTTCATGACCACAGAATAGGTGCCGTCTTCGTTAGAGCGCGAAAACACCAGAAACGGGTCATTACTACACATACACGACATCTTCTTCAGCGATTTGGCCCTAAACTCCATGTGAACTATTTGTTTACACGTCGATAACTCTTCGGTCACAATAATAATCTCTCCGTTGCCGACCATTCCCGACAACTTCTTGGCGAACTGACAGCCGGGATAAGCCATAATATCGGCTAAAGTGGTTTCGTAATGTCCGAGCGATTCTTTGCCATTGGGATCGACGTCCCAGACCTCGAACCGTAACTTCTGTACGGTTTCGAAGCTATAGTTAATGATAAACTTGTTGACCCATTCGGGGTTCAGGCTATCGGTAATGGTTTCGGTTCTCCCGATCTCGTAGTAACTCTTACTCCAGGCGTCACTCATCTGAACCAAACAGAAGGGATCTGATTTAGACGTAATGTCTCTATTGAGAAGATTACGACACGAGAGAGTCATCTCTATCTGAGATGTGGGCAAACTTGAATTCCCGCCGCCGGTGGCCGATGTCTGGGCCAGTGTCTCAAAGGGTAACATCATTTCGGTGGTCACGTGTCCGGGACTTATGATTCGCGAGTAGTCTTTAGACCATTTGTGTTATCAATTCATTAGGCGTTAAGTTATGTACACTTATTTATATACTATAGCTGCTATAGTATAGCAAATGACATCTAAAAAATATATGAAATTATATTTAAAAATTGTGATTACATTTCAAATGTTTGCGGCAATAGTTTGTCCGTAATTGTGATATTACGGGCATAATAAAGGTATGATTGACGCAACAAATGTCTATTTATAACACAAATCGATGACAACGTCAGAGACGTGTCATTCATTCGATACAAAACATAGAATATTTCTTAACACAACAACAATAGTCAAGAATATTCTGTAAACCAATGTTTATTATTAGTTATTTAATAATTATTAATAGTTATAAACATGTTTACATGTTTAGAGAGTGTCTGTCATTTTTGCAATCATTTTAAATGTTAGCATGTCATTACATTTTATGCATTACATTATATTTAATAATAAAATACAAATTTGATGATATTTATTATAATTGACACAAGAATAATAATATAAAAGAAATATAAATAAAATGAGAAATACATATAATAAATGAAATGCAATGTTGAGTCCAAAATAGATGATGATAAAAAAAAGTGTTGGATGTATTGTTCACATACACCAAAGCTGGTTATCCCAACAACGCCTCTCATCCTAACAATCAATACAATTGGGAAATATTAATAATTTTGAATTCAATCGCAACCGAAATGAATACTTACTTCAAAAGTTGTTTCTCTATAAGAATTTAATTTGGTTTTCAAATCACTGTTTTCCTGACGAAACTTTTCCATCTCTTCAATGAGAAGTTGAATGCAATTATGTCTGTGAACGTCACCCATAATGAGTCCACAAGTGGTGCACTTCCTGTCGGGATCGTAGACACAGGCGCTCATGTGTTGCGAGAGATCTTTCAATGCGCTCACGTGTTGACAGCCGTAGGACTCAAACTCGCAGCGAATCTCCAGGTCTTTCATGCGGTCGCAAACGGTGTCCGACTTTTTCAGATCCGATTTGGAGAGAAGACTCCTGTCGTACGGACACGTTGTACTGCAGGTCAACCACTCGTTGATGCAGTCATAACAGTACAACTGTTTGCAACACTTGGCGGCGAATGGATTGTTAAGAATACCCAAACAGATACCACACATGAAGTCATCCTTTTGGGATTCACTTATATTAATGAATCGTTTGCTATCAAAACCCGGCATTTCCTCTAAAGATAAAATTATATGTTTTACTTAATTATACTGTATTTGTATTATATGTTAATTCTTGGATAGGATTTGCAATTTGTATTGAATGATAAAGTTTTGCAAAGTTTAGTCTTTATATACACCAATCGAGACGATCACTGGATTGAGAGCCAAAAGTAAATAATAAAAATAACGGAAACTTTTCTCATGTGATAACAGAATGATTGCCTAATACTATATGTTGGGAGAGACTCAAGGTTTTTACTATTCGTCAGATGGAAAGCAATTTCCTTTTATTATATCATTTTTACCGTTGCATTAATGAGACTATTTTTAGATAGAAATCAATATATTATTTAATAAAGTTTTGTAAACATGAAATATTTGTCGTTAATTCACAAACAGAATAAATAATTGTCACAAATATGTTATGTATTGAATAAACAAATTTTATTATAACAATGTCGTATACAGTAATATACACATGTAAATTTTATCAATGTTTTTGAGCAAATTTGGTCTATGTACCATGATTGCGTTATTTTCATAAAATCTCTCTCTCTCTCTCTCTCTCTC